GAGTTTCAATTACCTCTGGTTTGTGAGAGTGAAGACTTGAATAACCAATATCATGATTTCCTGGAAGGTAGTAAACTGGGATGTCCTTATATCTTGCTTGATTTTTGAAACCGAAGATGTGGTTAAAGCGGCTCAAAGATTCCTGCCATCTAATCAAGGTATTAAATGGATCATAATAAAAATAATAATAATAATAATAAAAACAAAGTGAATTTTCAAGCACAAGTTGAAAAGTCCAGGTCACTTACTCTACATCTGACAAATAAGGACCCCCGTCAAAGTAATCGCCCAAAAACAAAATGACATCAGGCTTGAAAGGTAGGACAGAGGCAAAGAAGGCCCTGCGCATAAACAGATCAGTGTAGAACTGTGCCAACCCGAGAGCAAGTGATTTTGGTGGTAGATTATGGGAGGTTTTATCCATGAGCTGTTAAAAATATCAAATTTTAGAGAGAGTCCAAAAATGAATAAATAAAGTAGCAATAGGAGGCAAATTGACCTGTGGATCTGCAAGAACAGCGACTTTAACAAAATCACCAGATGCATTTATCCGAAGCTGCAAATAGAAGAAGCATTAGTAAGCATATGAAGGGTATCTAAGAGGTAAAACAAAGGGTATGGAATGATTACAGATGAATTAGTAGAAGAAGAGGATGAATGTGGTTGTGACCAAGAACAAGAGTAGAGAAACGGAAGCCAAAATGCAAACATCTCGCCATAGAGAAGAGTGAGCGCCCAGGTCAAGCATAGCACTACCGTTACCTTCTGATGCTGCTTCATCACTATCTTTCTTTCTTTCTCTCTTTGCTCTAACTTCGCATCCATCATTCCATCTTTTATCTATATAAGTTTGGTCGACGGTAAACTTCACTTTCAAGTGTTCTACTCTATATAAACGTTGTCACCTTTTACCCTGAAACGGGCCGGTGGGGTTGAAGTTGAAAAATTCAACTTGAGAGAATTAGAGAAATTTTCGGGAGTCGGTTGGGAACTGTGCAAAATTCAAGGGAGCTTATCTGTGCCTTTAGAGTATGTTAAATTTACTTCTTTTAAAAACATTATTACTTCATTCTGGTAAGTGCCTATTACATGTTTGTTAATATACCTAAACTGCTAAGCTCTACTGTATGCTCCAAACCTAATTAAATTTGTTAGTTTTGCTTTTTTTAACTCTCTATATCTCTGTACACTTATCATTAAAATTGTTTGCCACTTCCATTTTCTTCTGTTATAATTTGTGTATTGTATTTAAACTCCTTATAAACTCGATGTTAGCACAAAAAGCATCAGAAGTGATGATTTCAGGAATGGATATCAGCCATTTATTGGTAGAAACCAGATATTTTAAGTACTCAACCTTATCACCTCATAATTTGGCGTGCTAAAACAAGACTTCATGTCCCTGAAGAGACTTGGAACATAATTGATTCCAGCATGAGCAGGTTTACCTTGCTGTCTATCTGGCGATCTTTATGTGATAACCTGATTAGCCTTTTAAAATGAGGTTGAGATATTTATTGCCAATATTTTGGATTCTCTTGTAGGAGGTAGCTGTTGGTGATAATTGACAATAGCTTGAGCAAAAAGAAATATGGCTATGCCTTGGTTGTAGACATAGATAAAAAAGATGGTAAATTGTAGTTTTCACATACAACGAGTTGACAAGTGTTTAACCATTCAGTCATAAATGGTATGACCACCAAGTCCATGTAAAATATAGGGATAGGAGGAAAAGCTCAAAAGCTTCCTTGAACTCAAGTTCTTCCTTTGTACATCACTAAAGCAAAATTATATGATTAATTACATTTACATTGGTGGAATGAAGAGAAAATTTGCTTTGATAAATCCACATATCCTGTGCAAGTGTATATATCACATATCTGTGCCGAGGGGCATTATCTAACAGCCTTTGTTTTCATTTCTGTGGGTTACTCCTACATTCTTTAGCCACTCAACAACTTCCTTGATCGTTGGTCTCTTGAAAGGGTTTTGGCTTACGCACATGCAGGCAACGTCTAGCACCTGCAACATCTCTTCATCAAAGCCCTTTCCTCTGATGATAGGATCGAAGACCTGATCTTGTTTGCCCTCGCTTCTCATTTGCTGCACCCACCCAACCAATTCTCTCGACAGCTTTGGCTTGAATACCTCCACAGGCCTCTTCCCGGTGAGCAGCTCAAGCATGACAACACCAAAACTGTACATGTCTCCTCTCAAAGTGGCTACCCATGCTTGCCCATATTCTGGAGGAATGTAGCCCAAGGTACCAACAAGCTCAGTTGTAACATGTGTGTGATAAGGAAGAATCAATCTTGACAATCCAAAATCTGCAAGGTGTGCTTCAAACTTGTCATCAAGAAGGATGTTGCTAGACTTGATGTCACGATGCACTATGTGTGGCTCACATATCTGGTGCAGGTAAGCGAGCCCACAACTTGTTCCCCTTGCAATTTTCAGTCGAGTTGGCCAATCTAACTGAGATGCACCATCAGGTTTCTCATGCAGCCAGTAATCCAAACTTCCGTTCTCCATGTAGGAATATATTAGAAGCCGATAACCTTCATGCACACAATAGCCTTGCAGAGAAACCAGGTTCTTGTGTTGTGCAGTGGACAGAGCCTCCACCTCTGCTCTGAATTCCCTTTCCATCAGACCCAAGTCTCCAGAGAGTTTCTTAACAGCTAGCTTGGTCCCATTTGCCAGTGTTGCTTTATAAACCAAACCAAAACCCCCACAGCCAACGATGTTGGCTTGACTGAAATTATCAGTGGCTTTCAAGAGTTCGGATATTGTAAGATCTTTGACTTCATTAGTATTGTTTTGGAACAATATGACTAAGCTAGTATACTTGTCAACCTCAGGAGAAACCCCAAAATTAGAATTGCTAGAAATAGCATCCCATTCAACCTTGTCAGGGTCTCCTCTTGGAATGATCCTTCTCTTGGAGAGTATCAACAATGCTAACATAGTAATTATTAAACCAGTGCCAAAGCAGATACCAATGACTAGTCCAACAAGAAGTTTTATGTTTGTGCTTTTATGAGATGCAGTAGGATCGGTGGGACCTGGTGGATTAGGGCAAGAGCGTTGCACAATTGAACCACACAATGCTGGGTTCCCATCAAAGCTGGAGGATAGGAAGGTATCAAACTGACCCCCAGAAGGAATCGGTCCTTGAAGATTATTTGCTGCCACATTGAATGAAGACAAGAAGTGAAGACTCCTCAGTGATGTAGGGATCTCTCCAGATAGACGGTTTACAGAAAGGTCCAATATCTCCAAGTTAGTGAGATTTGATAGTCCATCGGGAATGTTGCCAGAGAGCTTGTTTTGACCAAGGTCCAATACATGAAGAACTTTCAATTGGCCGATCTCAACTGGTATACTTCCAGTGAGGCTGTTGTTTCTCAGGTATATAGCTGGTGGCAGGTTTGATAGCTGATTGTACTGCTGATTGGTTGCATTGTTGGGCATAACAAATACAGGCAACTCTAGATAACTTCGGTCCACTTTATCATTAGCCTCTTGAGATGCTAGCGCAGTCAATCTTGTAAGATCCTTGGGGAATTCTCCTGACAGGAAGTTCTGAGAGAAATCTATGTAGAAAAGGTTTGTTAAATTACCCAACCAACCAGGAATCGAACCTGAAATTCGATTTACAGACAGGTCCAAGACCTCAAGTTTCTTGAGTTTAGCTAGCCAGTTGGGCACTTGACCAGTAAATTGGCAACCACCCAGTCCCAAAACCTGAAGATTTTGGAATCCATCAGAGGCCACTAAATTTTCATCATGCGGTATTGGTTCATTAAAGAAGTTCTTTGACATGATGAAAGTAGTGAGATTCTTGCAGCCCATTGGATTCCTTATTGCCCCAGTTATATTGGTTAAGCGGTTGTTAGAAACAGAGAGGAAAGAAAGAGATTGCAGTGCAAGTATATCAGGCAAAATCTGTCCCTCTAGCTGGTTACTTGCCAGTCTAACAGCAGTCAGAGACTTGCATGAATAAAGACTTGGTGGCAAGATACCTGTGAACTGATTATTACCAAGGTCAAGGGTGTTAAGATAGATGAGTGAGGAGAAATTAAAGGCAGAAAGATTTCCTTCCAAGTTGTTGACCCGCAAATTTAATGTTGTCAGTTTGATGCAATTCATGAGAGATGGAGGCAGAGAACCAGTGAGGTTATTAATGTGAAGAAGAAGTTTTTCCAAGTTGGAGAGCTTACCAATATCCTTGGGGATCAAGCCAGTGAATTCATTAGAATAGAGCTCAAGGACTCTGAGGCTGGAGAGATTGACGATGGAATCATGAATGGGTCCAGAAAGGTGATTGATTGCTAAGGAAAGTTGTTGCAGTGAGGCAATACTGTAAATGTGTCGAGGAACTGCTCCTGAGAGATTGTTGAAACCTGCTCGAAGGATCTCCAACTGGGAACACTGGCCTAGTCCAGAGGGAATTTGATTATTGAAATCATTGTAAGAGAAATCCAACTGTCTGAGGGAGCGTGAAAAATCAGAGCATAAATAAGAAGGGATTGGGCCTGTGAAACTATTGTTGCTGACATTAAAAGTAGTGAGATTCCAAGCTGTCTGGAGGAATGAAATAGATGGGATTGACCCCTCAAAATAATTGCTGGACAAATCCAAATTTTGGATGTCAATAGCAGTGATATTATTGTCAAAGTGGTTGGTTGGTAATTGACCAGAAAGAAGATTGAAACTGAGATCAAGAACGAGGAGGTGATTGAGGGAGAAGAAGAAAGAGGTGGGGATTGGACCAAAGAGGCGATTATGTGAGAGATCAAGGTGAGAAAGGCGGGTGAGGTTTGCAAGAGAAGGGGAGAGAGTGGCAGTGAGGCCTCTAAAGGGTAGACGGAGATGGGTGACACGACCATCTTCAGCATCACAATCAACTCCATCCCATAGACAGCAGTCAATAGAAGAAGACCAATTCAACGAGGATGATGATGATGATATGTTTGAAAAGAAAGACAAGAGAGAGTCACGATCATTTTGGTTGCAGGCCACAGCAGCGTAGCAAGGACAGAATAATTGTAATTGTATAACTAGAAGTAGAAGAAACAATAAGACCCTGTTTTGAGGCATGGAGGAGGAGGAGGAGGAGGAAGCTCTCGGTCTTGTTATTGGTAGATTTAGAGCAGCAGCACCGCCGCAGGCTTCTTTATCAAGTATCATCATCTTGTAAAAACAAGTGGAGCAATAAGACATCAAAGAGTTGAAAAAAGAAGGTGAGTGCATGGTTCATTATCGGGTGTGGGCAACCTTGTACAAGATTAGAAATTGCAGTAAACCCCTCATTGACTCCTCAGAGAGAAAGAGACAGAGAGAGAGAGTGCGTGCGTGCGTGTGTGACGTTGAGTAGTTGATATTATAATGGGCAATATTAAAAAACAAAAAAATAGGAAGGTGGTATAGTTATTATTATTATTATCACCATTATCATTGAAAAATAAGAATTTTTATGAGCGTTTACTTTTGAGGGTGGCTGGTAGTGGTAGTGGTATTTGTAGTGGTGGTGGACTTTATCTGGGATGATGATTGATGGATTGATGACCAAAGGGAGAAGGCGTGTTGATAGTTACTGTGATAAACATCCCATACCAATTTTCTATTCTTTTATTTACACCTGTGCTGTTGGTGGCAACTCCAACTACTGCCCCATATTGTTTAATTAAACTCTTGGAGAACACAACACCATCCATCCTTGGTGTAGTTTGATATTTAAACATAACAAAATTCAACTGACCTGGATGACACTTCCTCAGTTTCATATATTAACCGTTACCCAAGAGTGGTGATCAAATATA